ACAAGACCGGTGGGAGAAATACACTCAAAACTGTCCCTTTCTCATCATTTACATTTTGCCAAAGAGTATTACTGGTGAACATCATGCGAAACCATAAATCATCTGCTCATAGCAACGTATTTCTTTCCTCTTCCTGTTGATGGCACTGGATAAGTGCCACAAGCCGAACTGGGAGTCCAACAGAATTTGCTTCGCAACTGGAGGAAACCATGTGGTAGCAAATAAAGAAAAAAAAACAGCAGATATCTAAAAAAGTAGAGAATAAAAAAAATAACAAAAGGATATGGATTAAATTTTCAATTTAGATAACAGTAATTGAATTGCGCCTGTGTCACTCCGCACTGCACAATACAGGCAGTATGAGGAAGAGATGGGATTTCTGCAGTGACGCCAGTGGAGTTAGACAGGCTACAGCAGAACAAATGAAATGCATTAGTCAATAAAAACAGTGTCAGAAGACCATAAAAAAATCAACCCTTCATAAATATTTTTTATGACGTATACAAAAGCCAAGGTGATGACAACTTTTAATTAAGAGTGGGAGACTAATGTCACTGGAAAGAGAGAGTTCTGTTTTGGTATTCTTTCCCATTCTAGAAATTTCAGTAGACACATCTGTGGGTTCACGACCCGTTGTCAGTGTCATTCTACCCCTTTGTGGGACTGCTAGTACTGTTTCTTAGTTGTTTTTTTTCCCATTATTTTCACACTGGAGTGACCTAGCTAACAGTCTGGCATTCCGAGCACTGGAATCCTCAGAAGAGTGAACATGTCATAGACGGAGGCAGGAATAGAGGTAATTTCCACAAAACCAGGTCTAAGGCAGTCTGCTTTTTATGTCCAAATACTGTATGCAATTTGGCTTTCCCACGAAAGCAATCTATTGTGATTTGGTAGCCAATCTTTTCATATCAGTTAAAAAGATAGACTGCTTAAAGACCAAGCTTTAAATGAATTAGAATCTCACCTAGCACTTAGGAGAAAGAAGCTTGTCACAGACGAAATTGCAGCAAAGAAGGCACAGCGATTTTAGAATCTTGTCATATACTGTAGAGAGGCAATTAATGGAATCGAAGAAACATTTTCCATCCCACACATCTCACAAGGCCAAACGTTAATTCGCTACTGCTCAAAGCTGTTCGCTATCAGTCTTCCCTCAGGCATTGTCAGCGAGACTTTTTGCTCTCGAAATTTAAGAAATACCATCCCTACTTTATTGCTCTTACAGTTGCTGTGAGTAACTTACTGGTTGCAGAGTTTTTACTGCTGTGGAATTGAAGGTGTTTGAAAGTGGTAGACTTTTTCAAAACAACTCTGGACATTAAGAAAATGTAGCTGAAACTGACAAACATGTTTGACTTTGCAAACAAAATGGCACCAACAAAATTAAACAGAAAAAAAAATAGAAAGCTTATTTTTCTTTAAAAAAAACATGCATGTAGCTACGGATTTATTTCCATGATTTCATGAAGGACTCATGGCTAAAGGCAAGGAGCTTCATTTTCGGAACATCACACTCTCCTGTACATTGAAATGAAAGGGTAGATGTAAAAAATGTTCCTTCTTAAAATCCTTTGCCTCATAATGACAGATCTTAAAAAAAATCATACTGCAGTCTGTGTTCTCACAGACACCTCTAATAGTTATAATCATACTGATTTCTCCGTCTGTGTCCTCACAGAGGGGTTTCAGAGCTCCTATTGCAGAAAGACATCTGAAACCAAAATTATCCTGAAACTAGAATCACACTCCCTCCTCCTCTCAACGACAGACTTGTTTCCTTCTAATCCTCTGTATTCATTTGCAGGTTTGGACTTCACACCTCTCTTCACCTCTCTCTCGACTTCACACCACCTGAGTGCCCACTCTGCCTCCCCCCTGCTCCCACCTCCTCTCCACTCCCGGCTGTTGTTCTCTCCTGCTTTTTCAACTGCTGGTTTTTCCTTCTCTCCCTGTCATTTGAAAAAGTCTCCAGAGCTGAAACGTTGTGTCTTCTGTCGTTTCTTTTCAGCACGGAATAAACCTTTGCCTGTTGCTTTATGATACTAATGTTTATTTAATGGAACTTCAAGAGCAATATCTTTAGTAAAAGGGCAGCAGAGTCAAAGCATGTACAGAACATCATACAGTATGTAGAGTAAAGACTTTCCCAGATGTAAAAAATAGTAGCTTTGCCCATTTCCCCAGTTTCTTGCAGATTATCAAGCTTTACGTCTTATACCAGATGCTTTCTGCATGACTGCTCCGCATCTGTTGTATTCTGTCAGACACACATAGGACCAGAATTCTCCATACAGATAGCAGAAACTGCAGAGATGATTGTTTGGAGAGACTGAAAGCCTTGAATGCCTTGAAAATTGCCTTTCCATGCAATTTTTTAATTCCGTTTCTGAAGTGTGATGTTAAACTGAACAGGCGCAGCTTGTTGCTCCAGCGCTGTCAACTGACACCGAAGCCCACCACATCATCAGAGAGTGAAAGTGTTCTGGAACAAGCCAGTCAGGAAGGGTCACAGGGTCATAGGAAGAACAACACAAGTGCTCTACACAAAAAATAATCAGATCTTGAGGGTACCCAACTTAAGAAATGAAAACAAAGAAAGTGTTCAGAACACAATAAAGCAACACAGACAAGACTGCCTTCCCCACCATCAGTGCTGGGTTTAAATACCCTGGCTCCACCCCCCCAGCTCCCCTTGATTGACAAGCAACCTCCATTCAAGCCAAAGGATGGCACAGCTCTGTAACCTGACACAACATAGAGGCACAACAGACAAGGATAGACCGTGGATCTAAAGGGGTAAGACAAAACAGGACCCTTGAACAGCAAATGACAAACTCAAGAGAGGTCATGTGACAAAGGCATGCACCGCCTTTGTCACAGGAATATTGAATCGATCTGATATCTTCTTACTATTACAGATTGCTCATGCTCATTCTTGGCCTTGACGTTTGCAGGGAATTTAACACCCCAGTACCAGGAACAGGTCTCACCTAAGGGGCAGCCCAATGTCAGCTGCCACCATACTGGGACACTGGCTTTGGAATTGGTTTCTGAGGGATGTGTAGAACCTGCTACTTACAGTACAGGTCATACACACACTATGTCCAGAAGCAAACTGATGTTCCTTATTTCCCCCAGTAGAGAACTGACCTGTCCCAGCCTCCTGTCATTTCTCTCATCTGATGAGGTCAGGCTACAAGGTGGTAGCGCTGCTGGCTAAATGAGATTGAATAATAAATCAAAGAGAAATGGATGTGAGGATGGGGTGGAGGGATTTTGTGAACATGTCTTCTTCCTTTGTATTTTCTTGATCCCCAGTGGCTCACTCACTAAATCAGAAACTGCCTAGGGAGCCAGGAGCAATATAGTTTCAAGGCAAAAGCAAGAGTACTCCTGGACACCCTACTGCTCTGCAGGCTTTTTCTAGAAGCAGCACTGTAGTGCATATCTTAACATGGAATTCATTTTTCAAAGCAATTCAAACCGATTTTAAAAGTGAGGATATATTTGTGGCACATTATCACAGCAATATCCTCTGCTGAGACTGGATTGAAATTGTTGGACAAAAAATTCATCATCTGCACTTAGTATCTTTGGTGAAAAGAGTATGCCGGGGTATCAGTCTCTCTGTGTGCAGAGTGTGTGGACAGCGACCACAAAACCGAATTGTGGATTGACATGGGAGAATTGAGAAAGCATGCCGAGAGTACAAATGCCATAGTCAGACATATGAAGTTTATTTTCTTTTTTTATTCCATCCATCTTCTAAACCCTTTATCCAATACAGGGTCAGTGAAGGGCTTATCCTGGCAAGCAACAGGCACAAGGCAGGGTGCTCTCTGGACAGGATGTCAATCAATTGCAGGGCACACACACACACACCAGGGCCAGTTTTTCCAAAAACCTACCCACATGTTGTTAGACTGTGGGAGGAAACCAGAGCACCCAGAGGGAACCCACAAGAACATACAAACTCCACACATACAGGTTCCCAAGGTCCAGAATTGAACCCAGGGCCCCAGCACTGCAAGGCAGTAATGCTGACCACTGTGCTGCCATGCTCTTCTGTCCTTTTTTAAACATGTCAATTTTCTTTTATGTATGAAGGCTAGATTGCTTTCTTAGATTTCTACTGCATTTGATTTCTCCTCTTTACCTTGTGTTTTGTTTTCATCAAAATGATTTATTCCACCAGCTTTGTCTGCTGGGAAAGGGGGGCTCATTAAATATATGCACTTACTGAATAGATGTTTACTCTGCCGCTCGAACAAACAACAGAAGATAACCGAAAACAAAGGAAAACTAAACTAGTGAATGAAGCAGTCAGCAGGTGGTTAAAGTCCATGAAATTTAAATACAAAACACATCAAATTCATGAGCCTATTCTTGTCCTTATTCTACCATTTTTTTCCCCAATTTAAACCAATTTGTAAGAGAATTCCAGGTTGCTGGCTGATCTTGCCAAATTGTTTTAAATTTTAAGTATGGATTAAAAATAAAATACTGCTATTATGCTATTACTGTAAATATACATAAAACACACACACGTATATATATAAATGATGTGCTACATGTGCAGTATATATAATGTGTGTGACTAAAAAATAGGGTCTGTGTGACACAGTTATTATACAATGTGTAATATCAGACTTCTCAAGAATCAAATTAACTCAAAAGGCTCCCTTGACCCTGCTCTTAGCCTCTCTGACATTTGGGTCAATGAGATGAGTGGGTCCCCTGAGGCAATATGACAAAAGCAATATTTCTCATGCTTGGTGGTGATAAACAGGAAAAGCAGATGTGAAAAGAAAATAGGAACAACAAAGATAGTAGTGTGTACAGTATATAGTGTATGTAGCTTTGGTTTAGAAAATTGATAGAATAGCCATTTAAGTGCTCAAATGGTTAATAAGATGTGAGCCTCTCCAGCATTCATCAGCGCAGGCTGGGTTTTCTCCCTGCGTGATGCAGGCAGAGTGGAGGAGGAGCAAGTGATGGACCTGACTAGCTGCTGCTCTGTGCTGCTGCTCTGCCTGCGAACACACAGAAGCGTTGGAAACTGCTCCAGACACACAGCTCGCCCGGCGGAGAAGGAGACAGCCAGAGAGGAGGAGACGCACTCCGGCCAGAGACTTCAGACCACTCTGGGCCCTGCACAATGTTACCCTGGAAGAGGAGCAAGTTTGTCCTGGTGGAGGCTGAAGTCAAGCCCAAACCCAAGAGCCTGACGACGGGGCTGACCTACAACTCCATCATCTCCTCCTTCATGCGCTCCTGCCCAGATCTGCTTCCAGACTACTCCTTTGAGCGCCTGGGGAGCATGTTCAAGACCAAGAGGCAGAAGGTGGAGCTCAATAAAGAGGACCCCACGTACACAGTGCGCTACCTGGGCAACGCCGTCACACTGACCGCCAAGGGTGAGGGGTGCACTGAGGAGGCAGTGGGCAAGATCTGGACCAAGAGCGACTATGGCGGCCAGAGTACCAAGATGAAGTTGACCATTGGGCCACATGGCATCCGCATGAGCCACACGGACAAGGGGTCCAAGAAGCCGGGCCACTTCTACTTCCTGCACCGGATCACCTACTGTGCTGCGGACCCCTGGCGACCAAAGATATTTGCCTGGGTCTACCGGCATCAGATCAAAAACAAAGCAGTGGTGCTTCGGTGCCACGCCGTTCTGGTCTCAAAGCCCGAGAAGGCAAGGGTCATGGCTCTGCACCTTTATCAGACGTCCACCTCGGCTTTCAACGAGTTCAAACGCCTGAAGAGGCAGAACGACTTCCGGCACAGGCAGCAGCAGCTCTTAGGGGAGGACATGGTCCCCTTGGTGCCCCTGAGGAAACTCCTGAACGGGCAGTGCCACTACCAGCCGCCCATGGATAAAGGCAGGAGCGCTCCGAGGCTGTGCTCCATTGCTGAGGAGGAAGAGGGAGAGGAAGAGGGCAAGGAGGAAAACAAAGAGTGTGCACCACCTGACAGCGACCAGGACAAGCAGCCCGAGAAGGACCTGGGCAAAATAGTCAATGAACTGAACGCATGCAGCATTAGCAACAACAACAACAACAACAGAGGGCTGACAAGACAGGGCAGTGTGAACAGACTTTTGTGAAAGAAAAGACACAAACTGGCTTTTGGAAAAATGGACCTTGCTCTGTCTGAGGAATCAGTTGTTCTTTCCTTTTAGTGGCAGAAACCTGTGCCACGCTCAATCTGCCACCAGTGTGTGATACTTTTTCCTGCTGGAAAATGGTAAACCAAGAGCAACTTTTTCTCTCACTTCTAGTTCTGATTCCCTTATTCTCATTTCCGCTACAATGAGCTAATTTTACATCCATATGGGGTCTTACTTAACAGCTCTGACTGTCTTGAATAATTGGCAGCACAGTATGGCCGTGTATTTAACTCTTCACCAGACATCAGACGCTCCATTCCACAGCCACATTATCTTTAAATCTTCATCACTGTGCTGCACACATTGTTAACTTGAAGGCAGTGTTGCATATATTGTGATAGATTTAGCTTCTCTTGGTATTGGCATGAGTGAATATTTTACTACTGTACTTCACAGATGTGGAAGATATCTTCTTTAACTGATCTAGTTTACAGAACAAGAAGTACAAATGATGCAGTTTAGTATTTCAGTAAAGTCACCCATGTGGCAGGTTTCTCAGATGGATGATTGTGATAGTACTGTAACCGGAGCATTATAACCTGATCGTTGTTTAAGTGAACCAATTTGAGTGATCGGTTTTAAAAAGAATATTGATAAAACAGCTGACGAGTGGAACCAGGGAACTAAGAAGGCTAATGAATTAAGCCATAACATCAACAACAGAATATCTTGTGGACATGTTTTTAGTTATAATTTATGAAGGTAATCTTGAATTAATTTGACAGCTAGGGACAGCACACAAGAGCCATTTCAATTTAGAGTTCTTATTTTTTTTTATTTTCAGTTTTGACCACTTTATAGGAGCGTTTTAGCTCCACATTGTGAGACCTGAGGTCTTGGAAAAAATGCAATGATGTAATGATGGCTTGTTTGCATTTTCTCTTGAAAATAAAAGGTTAATTAATCATGACTTTTTTTTCTGAACACTCCACACAATAGCTTTAAAGCTGTTACTGGAAAAATATCCTATTTTACTTCTTGTCCTTTAGTTACAGATTGCTAGAGTGTACCATATGCCATTGAAATTCAGAATGTGGTTTGCATAGCAGATATCCTTGAATATTTCAAAGGGAAATAAACAGAGAAGCTATTTTTTAGACAAATCATCTATTATCTATACTAAATGCACAGAAGTCACACACATCCCTGTCTTTAGATGTTTAGGTCTTTATAATGCAGAATCAGTCAGTTTCCATTAATTCTTTCACCTACAAACATCCACAGGGGAACATTTTGCTGTGATAAGCTTGCAGAAACAGTAATCCAATTTTACCTGGGGTGTTTATCACAGCGAAACATTCTTGGTGCCACATTGACTGCAGTGTTGTAGTGGTATATTTATTTTTGGAACTTGGTGTACTGTAATTTTGCAGTCAGAACACAGTGCTGACAAAGCTTAAGAATTCCCATGGAAGATAGGAATCTGGTTTACTTTATTTTTCTTCTAATGATGTGAGTGGAAGATAAAGCATTTATTATTAGCACTAGACATATTACACAAAGAAACAAATATCTTTATTGTATAAGTAAATTTTAGATGCTAATTATCATTTATTTAAAAAAAATGGAAGAAATATGTGCATTTATTGAGATATGTAATGAAATATATTTTCACCTTTTTTACAACATTGTAACAATCTATGATTAAAAAATATATATTTTTCCCATATGGAATGTCCCCATGTAATGTACATCAGTAACTAAAGTCATTGATTTATAAAAATCATACAGCATTTAAGCATGTACATTGCAAATGATTGCTATGTCGTCTGTATGCACTGCAAAAACACAAGTTGTGCAGCAAGTTTGCAGTAATCTAAACCGATCATCACCGATAGTCAAAACTGATTTTATAAAATCATTCTATCAAATCTGATTTGGCCACTCTGCCCAGTGAATTAAATCACTTAACAGGTAGTTGAAAAGTAGACGTAAAGATTCGTTACACAGCACCTCTTTAGATGCGGAGGCGATATTTCACCGATCTACGATCCTTGTAATGAAAGAACATCCATGCATCTGCTATCAATTTCATGCAATTCAGGGTTACAGGGGAGTCAGAGCCTATCAAAGGGTGCAAGGCACACACAGATACAGACACACTCACTCCAGGGACAATTTTCAGAGAAGTCAATTATTCCACCATGTGTATGTTTTTGGACTGTGGGAGGAGGAAACCCACACCAATATGAGGAGAACATACAAACTCCACACAGACAGCACCCCACGTCCTGGATTTGAACCCAGGACCTCAGCGCTGTAAGGCGGCTATACATACAGTAGACCACCGTATAATGTAATACATGTTTTGAAAAATAATTATGAAGTGAAATATCACACACATCACACATATCACACACTGCAGAACTGACAGTTTTCTTAGATATGGAGAAGGCACAGAGAGGTTTGGACTCGACTTCAAATCCAACTAGGTAACTAATTTTTGATGATAATCGCAAAGTTTATTTTTATGTAACACCTTTAAAAGTGACTTTTCAAAGTTCTTCACAGAACAACAACAAAAATCAGGAAGCTAAACTGTGCTTGTGCATATAGTTGAAGACAGACTGTTGTGCTGCAATGAACATTGATGGATCTTCAGATATCTCATCCTGACTGGGGTGGGGCAGTGGGTGTTGAGCATTGCAGGGTACTAATGTGTGAAATAGGGGGGGAATCGCTTTTCTCCACTCTTATGTGAAGGTGATAACAGAAAAGACAACTGATTGCTCCAGTATAATCCAATCAATCTATTGATTGAACCAGAGGATCATGCATGTGTCCAACTTAGACCCGGGTATTCCCATGATGTTTGAAGATTGACAGATTTAATGCTGTTCTGAGAAAGCAATTATGTTCGATTTATGTACAGAAGGCTAATATATCCCATGTCATTATTGAAAAATCTGACTGTTTTTAAATGTACTCCTACATAGTTTTCTGAATTCTGGCTCTGTCCTCAGGTCATCCAGACAAGGTAAGTGATTTTGCGCTGTGCAACAGCCAGCTCTCTGACATTATGATGACAATATTCAATTTAGAACCATCCAATACTGCATAGTAATACAAAAGAAACAGAAAATGAGACGGAAGTACTTTTATAAAATGTCTATAGGACCTTAACTTCAAAATAATGTTTTTGCTTTTCATCTTCGCCAATACTGTAGATTTATGTTTATTTGGGGTGTTTTTCAACTGCCTTTACATTTCTGTGACAGTGTAAGATACTAGAAAAATAGAACTGGGCAGTAAAGTCTCCTCTCTGTCTTTAGCTTGGAATACTTTTCATGCTATTGGCTGTTTGAGCCCTACTTGAAATCGACAGCCTATTCAGCAGAGAGAAAGGGGAATTCACTTTCATTATTATCAGTCCTCAGCTTCTCATCTCACTGCCAGTCTTGGAAGGGCATATTCGTGTGGTGGTTTCATGACACGTGCTTAAGATTACTGAGCACAAGGTCAAAAAACAAAGTTGAAATTTGAGTTTGTTTTTTGCAGCTCTGCTGTAACTACAGAAATGCAGGCATAAACATCTATGAAAACAGACGTTTGAGGAAATGTATTGAAATAACTTTGCATTTTCTATGTACATTGTGCATGAACATATACTGCTAATTGCTACAGCTGGATATGATAATGATTGTATTCATCATCCAACCACCTATATATTCCTTTATATTACCTTTATATTCGGACATCTCAGATAATGTTTTGTAAGTGGAAAACATGGTATTTTCATAATCTAAGGTAATAAATATGGTAAAAACATGGTAAAATAATAAAAAGCAAAGGGAAGTTCATTTTAAAGTGAACAAATATCATGGAAATATCCAAACTTGCTCTCTTCTGGAAAGCTATGTATAGCAAATGTGACATTAAAAACTCAATCCACTTAATTAGTGTCTGCATGGATTGTTCTCCTCAGTTATTCTCCTAAAATATTAACTTTTTCTTCTCCTAAAATAGTAACATAATTCATCTATATTCTAATTTAAGGACATAAAAGAAGATTTAAGTGAAGGATTTTATTCCACCGCTTTAAAGTTGAATTGATTTTCGTAGTCTGTTCCATTCTCACATGTCAAGTAATGTTAACATGATTGGATTGTATCCATAGGTTATTTAAATAAAAACAAACATTTCCAAAGTAATTGTTTCGCATTTGTTTCATTTCATTATGTTAAAGGAGACTTAATTCACCTTGAAGTCAATATTTACGGAAAATCCAGGATTAATCTCTGATCTAATCTCTCTTGGCTTCAAACGATCATGTTTATCATGATGGTGGACAGCAGCTCAGTCTTTATTAATGTCTGTGCATTCACTTATTACTCTGGAGTCTCCACCTGGATGCATTTTACATGCTTTATTTGATACAGGAGCCTGAAACAAAGCAACATCTGTATCAGCCTCTTGCTTGTCAAATTACAGAGTACAACCAGTAAACGCCTGCCAATTCCTGAATGAATAAATCCGAGCTGTAAGGTGCTGTGAACACATATCTCCATAATTCTGAAATGTGCTGTTAGATGTCTTTATTTAAATAGGTTCTTCAAACTGCTGCCTTTCTTTCACATCATGTCACGATTGCAGAAGGATTTAGTAGTATCGTACTACCACGGTGCATTTTCATTTTCTTGCTGCTGTGGAAATAATGCCTTTGAAGCAATTTTAAAGCCTTTCCGTGTCAGTGTTCCAGGACAACTTGCAGAAAAACAGTTTAATCAGCTTCTTTGAATCCCCAGAACAGGGAATGAAGTGTTGTAAGCCTTGGCAGAGCATTCTGGGGCAAATCTCGTAATGTTTCAGGTTATAAAGTGACATATCTAGAGGTGACTGTACACTTAGCAATTGCTTGCAACATTTCCCATCAATAATTGCTTGCAAATATTTGCCAGCATTTTGTCTTATTAGAGATTTATTGCTAACAGTATTATCAGCAATTTTGGAGCAAATGTTTTTTTGAGGATACTACATACAAAATGTGCACTGCTTTTTTTTCTTTCAACATTTCAGTCAAGTACAGAAATTAGTTGTTTAAAATATGTGTACTGTAGGTACAATAAATATTAGCAGTTCCCCTGACTCTGAGACTGGGATGGGATGGGATGCTTCATGCCTGAAGAGCCACAGTCTTCCAGATTTTATTGGTGCTTTTCCATTAGTAGCAAGTCCTGAATAATTGAATTCATTTCTTATCAAAATAATTAGGTCAATTAAGTAATGAAGATAAGAACAGAATAACGGTATATATTAGAGAACCCTGTGGCTCTGCATTACTGAAGCTGCCCACCCCTGCTCTAAATAAGGGGTAATAGCAGAAATTGTCCAGTTTAAACACAAACTGTAAGAAGAAAGACTGAAAGGGTCTCTAGAGAAAAATAAGTGCCTTTGGCAGAATTTCTATACTTTGACCCCAGCACTTCTGATATGTTGAAGGATGTTAATCTGAATTTAATGGGTCTAACTCCCAGTACTATGACCATACTTACACTGCATCTGTTTTGTCCAATGTGGTACAGTAAGTGTGTGTAAATAAGCAGTCTTCCTGTCACGGTACTGATCATGACGTGTATCTTGATCTCATCAGATCGGACACATTAGGGTCTGCTCAGTATTGGGATGGGAGACCTCAGCAGGCACCCAGGTTATTACTGGTACTGGGTACTACTGGTAAATTGTTTGGACCAGTAGAAGGTGTTCTTCCCTCAGAGCCAGAATCTCTATGCTGTACATAAATGCACCATTTTGATGACCCTGTGCTGCTGGAGATGGTGCCTTTTAATGGCAACATTAAAACAAGATCCTGACTACTAAGTCATGAAAGATGCCATGAAACTTTTTTTTCTCAGTAGGAGTGGTAATCCCATGTCCAGACTAAATTCCAGTCTCTGCTGTATGATTT